AGTTTTCAGTCTATTTTCTTCAAGTAGGGCAGAAATGTTAGACTTGTCACACACCGGTGTACAGAACCTTGTAGGATTTTTTGTGACGTCTTCTCCAAAACTCTAAGTTTTATCTATACCTTTTCCAGCAACTTACAAAAGCCTAACACCCATAATCTTTTCAAAGCAGCCGATATCACTTTCTCACAAACAATTCTCCTTAACGCTGAGGTTTCACCATTATAGCCACCAAATGACAAGAGCAGGTACAACCAGTATAAAGCACCCCTGGGTGAAGCATCCAGCAGCACTGGTGGATGCAGATGTGTTTGGATGTCCTGGAGAGCAGTCCACCGGTCCTGAGCACTCAGCACCCTATGGGCATCATCAGCACGCTTGAGAGAGAAAGCAGAGAGGGCACCTGAGTGACGTTAACAGACCAAGACTGTCTGTTGGACAGGAGAAAGGCAGGGCTCTTATAACCATAGAATGACACCCAATCCTAGATACTGTTTAGTCACTGGCACAGTATGTACACACTTCTACTTAAAAATGAAAACATCTGTGTTAGGCTGGGTTCTCTAGAGAAACAAAACCAGGACACTTATGAGTTTATATATATTTATACAGCACGAAGGAATATAACAGCTAGTTAACCTACACAGCAGTATAGAGGGCTCAGTTCAATTCACTTCTGTGGAACAGTTAATATACTGGAAGTCCTTCAACTCAGGAGGCTTCTGGGTCAAAGGTCAAGGAAGCAGACAGCCAAGTCTTTCCTCAGGCAAGGCAGGCAGTCCGGCCACAGGCAGCAAAAAGCAGGGTGGATATCAAACTCAAGCAAGGCAAGACGGCGGCGGGATCTGCCAGCCTCCAGCTCAAGCGATGTACACACCAGGTGAAGCAGGTCTTGAAGGAACCTCAAGCTTTAGCTACATGATCCAAGGGTTGGCTGTCCGACAGATAGTGTAGCTCACAAGTTGAGGCGGAGAACTAGCTAAAGCAGTTGCACGCTAGTCGGATCACCAGAGAGCAAGAGAGAGGGGCACGGGCCTTGCTGAGCCATTTATCTCTTTGCCCTCCAATCAATTGCAACCTGATTAATCCCACATGTTCCTATTGGCCAGCTAGGTTGACACAATAAACCTACCTATCACCACATCTTAGAACAGTATAGGCATACCATGTTGTATTGAGCTTTACTTTATTGGACTTCACAAATAATTGTGCTTATCACAAATTGAGGGTTTGTGGCAACCTTGTTTATCAGCACTACTTCTCCCAACCGTGTGTGCTTTCTTTGTGTCTCCGGACACATTTTGGGAATTCTTTCACTATGGCAAACTTTTGCATGCAACTGCACGTTAACAGACTACCGTGTGAACACAGGCACACACTGGGAAAGCAGAGCCTGGGTGCAATACTCACTTTATTGCAGTGGTTTGGAATTGAACCCACGGTATTTCCAAGGCATGCCTGTAATTTTCAGACCCATCCAAGGGATGATCAACAGTTTTAAGAATTAAGTAGAAAACAATAATTCTTGAATAAGCATGGCTATTCATAGCCAATTTCCTCAGTGCTTTAAGAACCATGAAAATCTTACACGAGCTTACAATAATGAAATTTCTTCCCCACAGAAAATACAAAATGAACACTTTTAAGATTCTGGCCACCTCTTTTAATAGTCTAATACTCAAGTAGCTATTACTGAAAGTTTAAGGGAATGAAGTATTTTAAAAATGCAGTAAACTTTCCTGCTTCCAATATTAAAACAGCAACACAAGGTCCAGATGATATTGTAGGGATTTGCCTTGTGTGACCTTAGCTCATTAAGCTCAATGCAGTAAAGGTGGGAGAAGCCAGAATTCAGTAAATGGACCTATCTTACTCACTCTCAGTGTTACTAATGTGAGGTTCCACCCTCAAAGTTTTTTCTATAGTTAGAAATACAACTAAACTCGTGTGCGCGCGCGCGTGTGTGTTTGTGTGTGTGTGTGTGTGTGTGTGTGTGTGTGCTAGAGGATGCACTGACTTTTGTTTTCTTGCAATTTGAAAAGGGAAAAACAAAAGGATTGTTAGGTTTGAATCTTTCTTCTTTTCCACCACTAGTACCTTGGACAAGAAGTCGTATTTCTTTTTCTCTTGATAAATGCTATTCACACATTTGAAATATTAGCAAAATATTCAAGGGGAAATTTAGCAAAATACTTATTGACTATTGATGCTAAAAAGAACTAGATACGATGCAATAATCAATTGAGGGTTTGCGTGGACTCCAGCGCGTTCACTGGCCTATGGGTGGGTCTGCGGTGGGGTTAATGCTGCCCATCAGGAGGGATGCGGGCAATTTCATCAGGCAATACGCAACGCTCCCTAACCTCTGCAAATGACTGGGGTTTTTTTTTCTCTTCCTATTCTAGGAGTACTGTCACACTAGAAAAAAGCACATCTCAGGGCTGAGAGACAAATAAAAGTGACATGTTACATAATCTATGCCCCGGCCTGTCTTTCACGATTAGCTTGATTGGTTCACCCGCCCCCTGAATCTTAACTGTTATATAAGAAGATGGGAAGCTAATTAACCAAAACAAAGAATGAGAGCGAGCAAAGCATTTTATTGGGAGTTCATCTCGGTCCAAACTATATGCCTGTGGGGCATGGTTCACAAAACCAGAGCCAACAATGGAAGCCACCCCTGCACAGTCCAGCACACGATCGCTGAACAATCCCCTCAACACGCCGGCCACAAACCACACTCCTCACTATGGAACTGCAGTCACTCACCTGGAGACCCGCCCAAACCGCTCTCCAATCATAGCCATCCTAGGAATAAGCCCTTAGACCAGCGGTTCTCAACCTGTGGGTCGTGACCCATTATGGGGTTCGAACAGTCCTTTCACAGGTGTCACCCGATTCATAACAGTAGCAAAATTACAGTTATGAAGTAGCAACAAAAATAATTTTATGGTTGGGGGGGTCACCACAACATGAGGAACTGTATGAAAGGGTTGTGGCATAAGGAAGGCTGAGCACCACTGCCTTAGACCTTTATCCCTGAAGGTTTGCCATTTTCCTAAAACAATCAAACCAGACCAAATGCTTGAACAGTTCAACTATGAATGAGGTATCAGAGCATATATCATTATTCAATAAATCTAAAGGTCAATGTTGGTCTAAAATGAGCTTAAAACAATGAAATCAGAAGTGATTTCAATATGTAGTACATCCATTGTGCCAAGAACATTTGTACATATGTTGCCATCATCATTTTCAAAACATTTTCTCTCAATTTGAGCCCTTAGTATCAGCTCCTCATTTTTCCCTCCCTCATGAACCCTTTATAATTTATAAATTATTATTATTTTTAAATTTTCTACTATTTAACTGCAAATGAATGGTGGGGGATGTAAGGAAAACGCTCCTAAGAAGTCAGGGCGGAAAGACCGGGCCTCGCTTACAATGACTGCGTCAGCAGGGAAGGCCAGCCCCTTGGAAAAGGCAATGTGCTTGGCAAAGAGGAGGCCCAGCAACGACAGGGAGGCCTGCGCCGAGATGCCTCGGAACAACAGCCTCAGCCACGATGGGAACATCCCAACACTCGTGAAGGTGGCACAGGCCGGGGCTCGTCTCCTTCTGTTCTGTCTACGGTCAGCATCAGACACAGTTAACCTGGTGGCACCTAAAAACAATTGCGAGGAGAGGAGGAGGGGATGGGGAGATGACAAACTGGAAGGGCCGTGACCTGCTAGAAAACACGTGGTTCCCCTGGTGCCACTAGTGCTTCTTCAAAACCAGTGAGGGACAATATGACCAAAAATTACTCTTCCATGTTCCTCCTCCAGAAGCTCCCTAAATGTTGGGCGATTTTAGACTTGCAGGAAGTATTTAATCAGAGCCTCTGGTTTTACAGGTGGAAAAGCTGAGCCTCATGCATATACAGGGCTTCACACACACACTAGATTAGTGTGCCTCACTTAGGAATAAGGATGGAACTGTGAACCATCTCAGGGGATGGATGGAACTGGAAGACGTTATGCTGAATGTAGTTAGTCAAGCACAAAAGGTCAAATATTGTATGAGACCAGTGTTAGGAAATTTTTCTTAAAAATCAAGAAAAGAGTTTTATACCCAAAGAAACAAACGGATAGTTGCCAGGGGTGGGAGACAAAGGGAGGGAAGGAAAAGTTCTGTCCTAGAGCAGGATGGGGAACGTCTGCCCAAGGGCCAAATAAGGGCCAAGGAATCGCCAATGCCTGGTAACATCCCACGCCTCGCCAAAGAGCAGCAGCTCCAGCCAGCACATCGGGGTGAGTAAGTTAGGTGACTGATCAGTGCGGCCGGAGAGCAATGTTATAAATATCCAAATGGCCACTGGCGGAAGAAAGATCCCCGACTGCTGCCCTAGAGGGTAGACAGGTGTGAACTCGGCTGAAGGGGAAGCTAATATCCTGAACCAGAGGAAGATAGGGGAAATAGAGAGGCCAGGGCATGTCACTGGAAGACTTGTGTTGGACACAAAAATGATGGTGTAATATTTACACAGCCACCTAATTCACAATGAAAAGCTTTTTAAAAAAAGAAAAAAGGTACAAGACTTAATCAAAATTACAAAGCAGGGGCAGTGTGGGTTCCAGTATAGAAAATCTCTCAGGGAGGTCAGCTGCAGGGACACATCTTTATCACCATCTCCGCTCCACGGGCTCCACACTGCCCACAACAGAAGCCAGAATCTTGTTGGACAATGATTCTCAACAGGCCCAAGGCTAGTAGGACCCCTTCATGACATACTGAGTATAATAACGGCCATTAATCAAGACTCTCACTGGGAGCACATGCTGTTGCTAAGAGAGAGTATCAAAACCTCATGATTAAGTAAAACCTACAAAAACAATATTAAGGAAACTTTTACTTGATAAAAATAGATTTCTTTTTAAAGAAAAAGAATGAGGTCTTTCACATCTTGAGTACATCTAACACCAATTCACCCTCACCACTTTTCAGAGTATTAAACACATTACCTTTGAAGTCTTCGAGTTCCTTCCTGCAGAAAAAAGAAAAAGCGAATTAAAATCATCTATTCTCAATAGAAACTGTGCTTATAATAAAATGTTTATATTTTGAATGTTCAGAGTGGTATTTTTGGAAAGTTTGCACTTTACTAAAATTATCAACACAATTAATTGAAAGTAACTATTTTCAGTTATTTCTGCTATTTCTCTATTGCAGCAGTTCTCAATCTGTGGGTCATGACCCCTTTGGGGGTTGAATGACCCTATCACAGGGGTCGCCTAAGACCATCGGAAAACACTATTTCTGATGGTTTTAGGAACCAAGACACTGCTCCTCTCTCCGTCTCCAGGCGGGTCCGCCCACATGCAGATACGCCTACTTACAAGTACCCGGAATGAAGATACTGTTACCCATGCTATACCATGCTTTAAGACAAAATTTCATTTATTTGTCATTAGAAAGAAATATCTCACAATATATAATTACATATTGTTTTTGTGATTAATCACTGTGCCTTAATTATGTTCAAATTGTAGCAATGAAAATACATCCTGCATATCAGATATTTTCATTATGATTCATAACAGTAGCAAAATTACAGTTATGAAGTAGCAACAAAAATAATTTCATGGTTGAGGGTTTCCATGACATGAGGAACTGTATTAAAGGGTTGGGGCATTAGGAAGGTTGAGAACCACTGCTCTAATGAATCAAACATTTTTAACCAAAATTTAAACTATTAAGACTCTAATGAAAAACCCAGCATTTTAACATTAGCTATGAGCCATCTAAGAAAATAAAAATCCATTTATAAAAGCACCCAGATTTTTATATTAGAAACTATCCAGAATGAAATCCATGGCCAGTCAATCCCACTCACGGGGACCCACAGGACACAGCAGAATGACTCCCGAGGCTTTCTGAGACTGTCAGTCTTCATGGAAGCAGACAGCCCTATCTTGTTCCCCAGGGAGGCTGCTGGGTTGCGCTGCTGACCTTGTGGTTAGCAGCCCAGCTCTTACCCACGAGGATGCCAGCAAGGCTCCTTATCAAGAAGCCGAGCAGCCATTTCCCTTCTCAGGTGAAAGGGAAAGGCACTTCTCAAAGCAGTGAACTCCACAGTTCATCTTGTCTTGGGGAAGTCCCCAGGTCTACTTCACCCACACCAATTAAGAATCCTACCGGAATACTAAGTTTGCTTGAGTGGTTCTGAATTGGCTGTGAATCCGCATGGTTGGCAGTTCAAAACCACCAGCTGCTCCTCAAAACAAAGACTGGGCTTTCTACTCCTATACACCGTTACAGTTATGGACATCCACAAGGGGTCGCGATGAGTCAGCACTGACTCGGTAGTGAGATGAGTTTTTATAAATAGCAAGTTTGAAGAGGTAAGTTTAAGTAGTAAAGGTTTGTGTTCTCATTCAAAATATATGACGTTCATCTTTTATTTGCCCTCTAGGTTTACTTCAACTTGATTTCTCAAGCCAGTGAAACACACAGCTAATTACACTATCCCTCATGGCCCCAAGTGGCTGACTTCAGTTGGTAGGAAGGGCTGGCAAAGTCCCCACTTAAAGTCCAATCAGATAATGTTTCTGCAACAGCCAAAGTTAAGATTCTGAAACCAGAGGGTCACCACGCTCCTTCCTCTTTCCTAACCATATTCATTCTATACACTAACGCTCCACCACCATGGTTCCGTGACTCAGCCCACACCAGACCCACCGCCATCAAGTCAGTGCTGACTCACAGCAAACCCCTGGTGGGTTTCCACGACTGTTGCTGTTCATGGAGTAGAGAGCCCAGTCTTTCTTCCGTGGAGCTGTTGGTGGTTTCAAACAGTCTCCCATGCAGCTCACAGCCCAACGTAAACCACTGCACCTCCAGAGCTCCCAGAGGTTCAACAATGAGGAAAGAGAAACTGAAAATGTTCAATTCCACTTTACTAAAAAGCAACTATTTCCCTACATCCAACTCTGTAACTTTATTCATAAAAAGCTTACCCCTTTGGGAAACCATGGGACTTCAAAAAACTGGTGGAAGGTAGAATTAAAAAATAATGGAAAATTTCTACCAATTTTTGGAAACGCCTTCATAGAACCCACCTACATTTTCTGTCTTTGGTGTTTATTGGGAAGCTCTATCCCACTTTAAGTGTGCGCGGTCATGCGGTGGCAGCCTGTGACAACTTGGTGACTCTTCTCCCATCGCCCCTAGCACCAGACTTGTTGGGCTTCAGGAAGCTTGCGGAAAGCCTCCTCTTCTTTTAACTAACTTTCCCACAGACATTTTGAAGCCCCCTCCTATGGCTTACTAGTTTGTATCAAAATCAGTTTTATCTAAAAAAAAGTTTTGTTTTTCATTCTGTTCAAAATGCTTTTTATTACTTAAAATACATGGTGTGAATGAAATTGAAAACAGAAAATAATTTGGTTTTAAAATGGTTGATTAAGTACCACTTGGGTATGTTTATGACCAGGCTTATATTCAAATATGGGATAAGCTCAAATGCTTACCAAAAAAGCCAGAAATCATTTTGAAAAGATACCTTCAATCCACTTCTTACTGATGTTCTAACATTAGCAATTCCCTACGAGGGGTTTTCACAAAGCACTAGGTTTATTTAGCTACCAGTACTTAATATTCAAATAAGTAATTCCTGTTTCAACAGTAACAATCTTTAGCGAGCTTCTCTGCTCTTTTTAAAATTGATACGCTAACCACCACTAAAACCAATGATGAAGAAATTAAAGAATTCTACCCACGTCTTTGATCTGAAATTGATCATCCATGCATGATAATTATGACAATTGGAATGAGAAAGTTGAAAAGGAAGAAGAAGAATCAATCATTGGGGAATATGGAAAATAGGACGTTGGTGAAAGAAGTGAAATTGGAGTTGGCATGATAGAATTTTGCAAGACCAATAACTTCTTCGTTAAAAACACATTTTTCCCACAACATAAATGGTAACTATACATGTGGACCTCACGAGATGGAATGCCCAGGAAATCAAATTGATTACATCTATGGGAAGGGTTTAAGGAGAATCACAAAAGCATTAGCCAAAACGAGGCTAGGTCTGAGTAAGGAATAGACTATCAATTGCTCATATGCAAGTTCAGGCTGAAGTTGAAGAAAATGAGAACAAGCCCACAAGAACTAGAATATGAACTTGAACGTATCTTGCCAGAATTTAGAGAACGTCTCAAGAACGTATTTGCCACAGTGAACACTATGCCAGAAGCCCTGAGGCAGTGTGGGATGGATGACATCAAGAATAGCATACATGAAGACAGCTGAAGGCCATTAAAAGGGCAGGAACTAAAGAAAAGCGCAAAGCAGACATACGAAGAAACTGCAAATGAAATTTGCTCCTGAATGTTGAGTAGTTAAAGCGAAGGGAAGAAATTCTGAGGTAACAGAGTTGAGCAGGAAATGTCAAAGCACAGCTGGAGAAGACCAAGGAAGATAATGAAATGTGTGAAGACCTGGGGTCAGCGAGTCAAAAGGGGGGGCATGCTCAGTGTATGTCAAGCTGAAAGAACTGAAGGAAAAGTTAAGACTCAAGTTGAAAATCTGAAGGATTCAATGAATATTAAACAATGCAGGAAGCACCCAAAGGAATGGAAGGATTACACAGTCACAGTACCAGAAAAGATTGGTCAGTGTTCAACCATTTCAAAGGTAGCATATGATGTAGGATCGGTGGTGTTGGAAGAAGCCCAGACTGTAGTGAAGACGTTCATGGAAAATACGGCTCCAGGAAATGGCAGCGTACCAACTGAGACGCTTCCCAATGGATGCCCCACCAGAGGCACTCACTAAAACCTATGCGAACCCCAACACTCTGAAGACAGGAGATTCTTATTGTGCTCATTCCAGAGAATGGGGCCCCGACAGAACGCTGAAGTGATTAATGTGTGTCATGCGCAAGGACAATGAAGCAGCAGATAATTCAATAGAAGATGTAGCAGCACATGGACAGGAAGTTGCCAGAAATTCAAGTGGGACTCAGAAGAGGAAATGGCACCAAGGGTACCATCGCTGATGTCAGAGGGATCTCGGCAGAAAGCAGGGAAGACTAGAAAACACTGTTTACTTGTGTTTTATTCATTATGCAAAGGCATTGTACTAGATGGATCAAAACAAACTACGGAGAACAATGTGCTACGAATGGGAATTCCAGAACACTTAATTGTGCTGCTGTGGGGCCTGTGGAACATGCACACAGACCAAGAGGCAGGCATTGGAACAGGACAAGGGGTAGTGCATGGTTTGAAGTCGGGAAAGGTGTGCATCAAGGCTCGACCCTTTCACCAGACTCCTTCACTCTGCATGCTGAGCAATTAACCCAAGAAGCTAGGCTAGGTGAAGAGTTGTGGATCATGAAAGTCTGTAAGTAGAGGATACTGAGAGAGAAAGAGAGAGAGAGAGAGAGAGAGAACCCTTTTGCCCCTGCCCTCTCACTCACCAGCAGCTTGCCACTGATCTGATTAGGGGGCCAGCGGCGGAAAGATGAGCGTGGCCACTGCACAGGAAAGGCAGCTTTCCCCAGTGGGGCAATTTCTCTGTCAGGTGGCAGCAGACACATGGTATTTGGTGATGGGGAATGGTAAGGAACATTGAAATACCACGGGCTGCCAGAAGAACAATAAAATCTGTCTCGGAGGACGTGCAGCCAGATTGACCCTTAGAAGAGAAGATGGCTTGACTTAATACGCTTTGGAAGAAAGATTAACAACCTGTGATATGCAGATGACCCCACCTTGCTTGCTGAAAGTGAGGAGGACTTGAGGCACTTGCTTGTGAAGATCAAAGACTGGAGCCTTCAATATGGAATTCAGTTCAAGGTTAAGAAAACCCAAATCCTTAACTTTGGACCAACAGGCAGCATCATGATAAAAGGAGAAAAGATTGAAGTTTCCAAGACTTTCATTTTACTTGGATCCACAATCAATGCTCATGGAAGCAGTAGTCAAGAAATCACATGATGTATTGCAAGGAGTAAATCTGCTGCAAGACTTCCAT